ATATATTTGTGTATTATATACATAAAAAAATATTTATCTACTTTTAATTTTATTTCTTAAAAATAATTATTTTTTCTAGTGGCGGAACTACGTTGAGACTAGAGGGGCTAGCACCTCTAGTTGCCCCTCTGGTCTTCTGAAAATTTTTCATATTATTTTTCAAATCTTGTATTTTAAGAATTTTATCATTAAATTTTATTTGATTCACTTAATTATTCTTAATATTTATAAAAATAATTATCATATTATATATATTTTAAGTCTTGTCATTAAATTCAAAATAGAATTTGAACATAACAATTAAAACTATTTAGGCCTCGTCTATTAATATAAAAATAACATTTTAATTTTTAAATTTTTTTACAAAAAAATATTAAAAAAATGTTTAAACTTTTAACATTTCTCGATCTTAATTACCAGAGTACTACATAACAATCACAAAAGTAAAAGATTTTGAGGTAACATGTTATCACCACTAAATAAAAGGAAAATAATTTTTATGATAAAATATAGTCATTTTTTGGGGATCAACCACATGGACGCCTAATTTAGAATGAGGAATGATAGTCTGCCCACAGAATTGTAGTAAAAACATTCGAAACATTCAGACGTTGAGGGGAAACTGCATAAATAAGCTACTTTACTAACAAGTCTAGCTTTTCATGGCTAAGGGTGGAAGGCCTTTGCCAGGCCGAAAGCAGCTGCGGACGCAATGGCACCTATAAGAGCAGTTTGGAAAGCACTTATCACCGGTTTATTGCCAGTGAAATAACCTTTTGCATAGCCAAATATTAACAATGCCAACAAGGTTACGATTACTGATGCAACCATCGCGTCTGTAGCTTTTGGAATAAAAATGTAAGGAATGAGGGGCACCAATCCACCCAAGACATAAGCAATGGCGATGGTGAAAGCACTTATAAGCGCTCTTCTTGGATCCGGCTTCTCTAGTCCCAGTTCGAACCTGCAATTGGATTACCTTATGTTAACAGATTGAATGTTTAATTCCAGGCCAACTGGGGAAAAAAAACACATAGGTAACTTGGACAAGTTTTAGTGCACAGTAAATGGCATAAAGAAGGCGCTTAGAGATAAGAAACATGGTAGTAGCCTGAGATGGTAAACTCCTTAACAAGGACCCAACATAAAAGATAAGAGGATGATAACTCCATGATAACTCCTATCGTAACTTAATATAATAAACCCTGATCTTACTTGTCTTTATATTAACAATGAACTCTTTTATGATAAAAGCAGTAACTTAACAGGATTCGGCACCACCCCATTAATAGCATCTCTCTCGATACAGAGTTATTCTGATTTTATATATCAGCAGTGTGCCAATAGGAAAGTCAGTTCACAAGATCCTATTTTAATCCTTTTCACCTTGGCGGTAATGTGGACATATTCAATCTTCCCCTCTACCCTAAAGAAGGATTTATGATTAAAATATACCAAGTACTTGTAATCTGGTTCTGCTCCCCGAAATATGAAGATGGACTGCAGCCTTGCAAATCATGCTCTAGCTGTACAAATCCATTATTCTAATGTCTCTAGCGCTTCTTGCTCATTTGAGTGTAAAAAGTTACACTAAACCCATAGAAGAAAAAAAAGAAAGAAAGACGCTATTTGTTTGAATAAAAATTGGTAAAGGAAAGAGAATGAAGGGAAGGGAAAGGGAAGGGAGAAGAAGTGAAGGGAAAAAAGAGTCAATATTAACTTTATTTTGATAGATGAAAATAGAGAAAATAAAAATAAAAATATTTTTATTTAATTAAATAATTAAAAAATAAAATATTTAAATTTTACTAATTAAAATAATAATTGAAATAAAATATTTTTATACATTTATTTTTAAGAAAATTAAAAATATTAAATGTGTAAATCAAATTCTTTGCAACCTTTCCAATTTAGAAATATGAAATACAAAGGAATAGAAGGGATTCTATCACCCCTCTGTCTCCTTTTCTCTTTATTAATGAAGAAAAACAAACAAAATAAGGGAGACATTTGCCCCCACGCTCTCTGTCCTCCCCCTCCAAATCCACCAATCTAAATAGACGCTAAAGGACCATTTTTTCTTTGGACCAATTTTTTCTTTATCCTATATATAAGACTAATTGTAGGTTCTTTTGTTTTTTCGATGAATAAAAATTCATTAAATGGGAGTACAATATACTCCAACCTTTTTACATTAGTTTTACATTAAATGGAATCCAACAAAACAAAAGCGGATAAGAACGAGCCTTGCCTATAGGAAAAAACAACCATCTGACAGCAACGCTATAGACATAGACGTTCACAATCACAACACTCCACAAAACCCACAGAGAAACAAGGAATAGAACTAACGAACGTCTAAAAACAACTTCAAATAATCTACGGGATGAAAAAGTTTGTTAATTTAACCAAAAAAAAAAAGTAACTTCCTAACATTGTAAACATCAAATCTAGGACAATCCAGTAGTGACCGCTAACCAGAGATGCACCATTTAATTAATTTTGCTTCCATATGAAAAGGAAAGAGACGACCAACTAGGCTATAAGAAGGTCTTCAACCTTGTCATTAAGAAGAAAAAGCCAAAAAGGTGTATTTTTATTTATGTGTATACAGACAAACATATATCTGGTTTGGTTTCGCATATATATATATTTGGTTTGTTTATTTTTAAACCAAAACCAAAACAAAAAAAGGAAAATTTTCAGGCTTTTCCCTTTTTATTTTTCTTTTCATTATTTTTTTTTTTTACTTTTTGTTACATAATAAGAGACAATATCTCTTATTCTTTATTTTAACTCACTCACATGTCATATGAACTCGAACTCAAGATTCTTACTCCAAATGAAAAAAAAAAAGACTACTTAGTTATTTAGTTCGTTGGTTTCTTTTCATTATTCAATTTAGAGATTATGAAAAATTAAAATATCCCAATAATTAACATATATATCTCAATTGCTTATAAATAAAAAAATTTTAAATTAATGAATATAACCTAGATCGAGCTTCTACTGGTCAATTTATATGGTTTATGGTAAGCAAGGAAGAAGAAGTGTAAGCTTACTTCATCATGAAATCAAGCCACGCTTGAGGCCTCTTCCTCAGAGCATTCACCACAGGCCCATATTCGTGTGGCTCTATTCCGTACTCCGCCAGGATTTCCGCTACCTCAGCAGCCTCTGCATTTTCCGAAAAATTATACCAATTTTACAGGTCACTGTTAATAATTAACCGAAAAATGAAACGGCTTATATTTTAATTCATTCGTTCTACCTGTATCAGGAACAGCGATGATCTCGTCCTGCTCCCTTTTCAGTTCCCTTGCGTAATGATCGGCTTCGCTTTTAGCCGCCAGATACCTGAAATTCATTTCCTCAATTTTCTCAGTAACCAAACATCACAAATCAAAGAGAATACGCCAAGTTTTTTTCCTGAAATTTCTCGGTAACCGAACTGGACAAAATGAGGAAGAAAATGAGAGAAACTATTAACAGTACTCGCTAGATTCTTCCTCAATTTTCCAGGTAACTAAGGAAGATGAAATCCAAAAGAAAGTAAGGAAAACTCTACCGAGAAAATTTTCTCGGCAACCAAACAAGACAAAATCGAAAAGAAAAGGAGAAAAATTCAATACCCCCCGAGTCCCATGGAGATAGAACCGGCGGCGACTTCGGCGATACCGGCCGTGAGAACGATTGATGAAGAGGCATTTGCTCCGGACAATCCGGCGGCGAGCGCGAAGGGAACGGTTAGACCATCGGAAACACCGATTATGATGTCGCGAACGATCTCTCCCGCGGTGAAATGTTTCTCCTTGTGCTCGTTCAGGAGGCTCTGTTTCTCCGGCTCTATGTCTGTTCTTCCATTGTCTTGTGCCATGAAATCGGTTATTCTTCAGTGTCTTGTTGTGAATGAATGGGAGGTAGATAGGTTGGCGTGGAGTGTTTGGCTTTTTATGTGTAGTTTTTGACTTCTAAGATTCAGTGTAAAAGGAAAGTGTGAGGAGCGTCTGGAATAAAAAGATCTGCCTGACGTTTTATCACGTATTCGGAATGAAAGTTATACTTGAATTTTGTGATATTATTTTTTTTAGGTACAGGATAATTTTTTTATCAATATTTTTTATATAATTTTTATGTGTCATTAAATAAATAAATAAATATATTTAATATTATAGATCTCATATAAATTTAAAAAATTAATTATTTTAATGATATATTAAATTATATAAAAAATAAAATAAAAAAATTATACAAAAAAATAAAATAAAATAATTTTACAAAAATTATTTCTCTATTTTTTTACTGCACATGACTAATATACCTTTGATAACCATTTAACCATGGGTCTCCAAATCCTTCCAGATTCCTTTCCTTCTTTATTTTTCATTTTTTCAAATCTATCCCCTTCCTAATTTAATATTTATAATATATAATTTAAAATATCAAACTCTTAATTAATTGAGTGATCAATTCTTTAAAAAGTCCTTAGAAGTTGTTTATGTGATACTTTTACCACCTTCCTTTAAAAATATTAAAGTAATGTTAAAATTGATATACTCTTATGCTATTTCCGTTTGTGCAATGTGTTTGTTTAGGTTGTGAGTCTTAATTTATGGGATCAAGCATTCCTTATCCGTGTCAATGTCGAATGGCTAATTGTTTGTAAAAAAATGTTGTAGTGTAATTCGTTAAATGTGAATTACACTATTTTTAATTATTGATGGAGTTATGTACTTTTAATATTAAAATATTTACCTCTTAATTAATAATTATAAGATTTATAATCTGTATATAATAGACTCTAATTCAATTTTCTAAATTTATAAACTCTCTCTTCCCTATTTAATCAAAATTGTGTGGCAAAAACCATGGCCTATAGGTGATTAGCCACAATAAGCAAACTAATATAAGCATGGGTACTTTCATGTCACTAACAATATGTTTGGATTGAAGGGAATGGAGAAGAGGAAAAAAAAAATTGTTTATTTGGCTATAAAAAAAATAGAGAGAGGTCGGAGGAGAAAATTTTTCTTTATTTTTTTCTCTTTTAATTTAGTTATTTATCTAAATGAAGAAAATAGAAGGAAAGGGAATAAAAAGATATAATTTCCCTTTTATTCTTTTTTTTCTTTTTTTTTTTTCTTTCATTTCTCTCAACTCAAATATAAGGTTAATGTATGTCCTTAAGTACTTATATACGTTAGAAAAACATTGTATATTTTTGTGGTTAAATTTTTTATTTGGAATTATTCCCAAAAATAGTAGGTTCAAAAAAATAATTCTGGAATAGGGGGTTTCAAAAATATTTTTTAAAATATCTTAGAATACAAAATAATTTCAAATTAGTGTCCTATGTCGCTAAATTTGCCGTTCCAAAAGGTGCAAGCGTGAATGCAAATGGTTATTCATTTGTAAATGCTGAGCACTAGAATTTTGAATCGACACAAAACCCCCAATTTCAAATGCTTTCTCAACCATTGCAAAAAAAAGAAAAAAAAAAAGGGGGACATTCGATTCATGCAACTCTCATTGACTATTCTAAAAACTCAAGCAAATCATCGAAAATCTCACAACCTACAAAAGCAAACATGCGTTTCAATGGGATGAACTCTCAATCAATAAAAGAAAATCCCAAACCCCAAATTTACAAAGTGATACGAGATTGAGAAATGAATGCATTTACCTGCCCTTGCTGCTGGTGGATGAATTTGTTCAGATTTGTTTGTTATATTCCCTAATAAAGGATGGGTGGGTGGAGAAAATTTAGAGATATTAATTTGAGAGGAGAGGCAAATCTGACATTATAGAGTATTACTTTAGAATTATTTTGTATTTTAATACTCTTTTAAAAATATTTTCAAAACACTTCTACTTTAGAATTCTTTTTTTGAACCCACTTTTTTTTTTTTTTGGAATAATCCCTTTTTATTTTAGGGAGTCCTTATAAATTAAAGTGTTAAAAAATGTTGGGATCTTAGCCTTCCTTTTCCTCTTAGATCTTCCCTATTCCCTTCCCATTTCTTCTTCCCTTTTCACTTTTCTTTTATCCCCCTGTTTCCATTGTTTCCTTGTTTCCTTTTTCTCCCAGTATTCCTTTTTCTTTCTTTCTTTCTTTTTTTGTTTTTTATTTACAATTTTTATATATTATTAAATAAATATATATATATACAATCGTATATATATGGATTTGAAAAGTATTAATTATTAAATAATATGTAAGGTATGAAAAAACTATATAAAAAAGGTTAAAACCCTTTTTTGGTCCCTGAACTATTGTACGGACCTCCGATTTGGTCCCTAAACTAAAAAAATCCCTGATTTGGTCCCTACTGTTACCATTTTTACCCCAATTTGGTCCTTCCGTTAAAAATTGTGTGACGTGGCATGTTACTTAATAGTTACCATATGACATGTCATATAATAATATAAAAAGTGATGATGTGGAAAAAAAACAATATAAAAAAATATTATGAAAAATAAAACTTAAAATTTTTTTTCTTTTTCTTTTTTCTTTTTTTCTTTTTCTTTTTTTCTTTTTCTTTCTCCTTTCCCTTTCCCTTTCTCTTTCTTCTTCCCCTTTCTCTTCCTCCTTCCCCTCGGAACCCAGCAGGCCTGGGTTCCTTTGAACCCACCCAGCCCTGGGTTCGACAAACCCAGGTCGAACCCAGGGCTGGTGTTGGCTGAACCCAGCCCTGGGTT